TTAAAAAAAAACTAGAAAATAGTACCAATGTCATTGACTTACAAATAAATGGACGACGGGTCTAATACAAAAACCACGAAAAAAATGTCCCAAGTCAACCTATTCGAAATTTAAATTGTAATGTCATCGCAGTATCGCGCTGTCAGTAGAACAAATGAAGACTAAAGCGGAGTTTGGCGCTCTGTATACGATTTTAGCGCCTTACAAGTGCGGACACTTTTTAGCGCGAACCCGACGTCCATATAATTGTAAGTCAATGACCAATGTACAAAGGAGTCCGTAACAGTCAAATTGTCGCTAAGAAGTCTCTGAAGAATCTGATGAGGGGATCCCATGGAAATCGACAATTCTCCGTAACGCCATCGAAATGGTTTTTTTTTCTTTTAATATAATAGTAGCACATTCACAAACAATGCACGTACATCATGTACGTCAGCCTTATACTACAGTGGGTAGCATAATTTAAAAAATGGGATGACGCGGCTACGAGCATGACACAGGATTTCGTACGTTTGTCAAACAAGTTGCCAATGAATGTAGTACGAGTATCACAATATTATACACCTCACTGGTCCGTCTGATGTAGACAGAGGGAAATAGGTACCTAAGGACCTCTAGCCATAACTCTCCTGATGTATCCGTTTCGTTTCTTCCACTCATATCCATATCGTCAAGTATTCAATTTTTTTAATACTTTTTTTAAACTATGTTGTAGATTTTTATGATGAGCGGCTTTGGAGAGGAATTCTCTTCAAGCAGACGATTTCCTGAACGCTATAACTTGGGCCTTATATAGGGGTACATGCTTCATCGTGGACCTCATCGTCACTTGCCGAGATGGAGGTGAAATGCGCTCTCATTTGTATTATAAAAAAATTGTTGACCTGACCTTTTTAAGAAAATCTTCAATGTGGTTGAAATATGTACGCCTAGGTAGATCTTTCACCACGTTTCTCGAACATGCACATCTGTAAATTGTGTGGCTATTCTACTTACATCCATCCTTTGACCAAATCATAGAAGTATTTCCCTTTTCTATCTCGGGCACTACGTCATGTTCATAATTCATGATTCTCGCTTATTATAGGTACTATTCCTTTTTCTCTATCCTGTCGTACGAATCTGAAGAAAGCGCCGTGAATTTGACCGCAAAAAAAGGAGGAGATTTTCAATTCGATGTATGTTAGTTACGCGATAACACATTTGTGAACCGATGTTAATGATTCTTTTTTTATTGGACAGTGGGTACTCAGTATTGGTCCCATTCAAATTTGAATAAAATATTCCACCTGTAAGGGTGGCATATTAGGGTGTGAATACGGTTTCGCGCACTTTCCGGTAACCGATTCAAATAAAACTTGGCAAATATATGTAATTCCACAAACTTTTCAGTTCGGTTTTTTAACGCATACATTCATAGCTAAGAAAACCGTGTATAGCGGGTGCCATGGACACATACAAAGACTACCATAAATTACACCAAAACTCACGAGATAAATAAATGTAGGCGATAAAAATTTCGGGTTCGAGAATCGAACCTTGTCTGCCACTCAGAGGACCAGCATGTTAATCATTCGGCTACGGAGGAAGTAAACAGTGTTTGCACTGGGCTCGCGAGCTGCATTAAGCCGGGTACTGATTACTTAGCTGTAACTGTAACGTGACAGACACTGTAACGAGGTCTAGTGTGTACGCGTGAAGCTGTCTTCACTCGCTAAAATGAGTATCTGGTTATCGTCTGCCAATTGCGAACCGCCCGCGTACCGCTTGCGGCAAGCCCGTACGTAGACACTATGATTTTTACGGTTACAATTCGCTAGTGACTAGGGACCCGGGTTAAGGAGGCGTACATAATTGTACGCTTGCAGTTCGCGCCCAACACCACATGCATTTGCCAGATGCAAAATAATTTATATATAGGATGTAGACATTCATTTATTATCATGCTGTGATGTGATAATGAATTGACTACTATTTTGGGTGTTTAATGTGATACAAACATTGACTTACAATTATGGACGTCGGGTCCGCGCTAAAAAGTGTCCGCACTTGTAAGGCGCTAAAATCGTATACAGAGCGCCAAACTCCGCTTTAGTCTTCATTTGTTCTACTGACAGCGCGATACTGCGATGACATTACAATTTAAATTTCGAATAGGTTGACTTGGGACATTTTTTTCGTGGTTTTTGTATTAGACCCGTCGTCCATTTATTTGTAAGTCCATGGATACAAAGGTAAAAATATTTACACAACACAATGGACTAGATGGAAAATGTAGGAAAACAAAAAACGAACGCAATTCGGCGGTGTTGAAACTTTGCTCGCTTTTATGCGTAGGCGCTTTATAACCCTTAATTTTTCATACTATCTTCCATTACAATTCTTTGGCCAAGGGTTTTTCTTTTTTTAGAATATTTACACTCTGGTCTTAAAAAGAAACATTTTTTATTATTATTAATTTGAATTGTTCAATGCCATCTAGCGGCTACAAAACTAATTAAATATCGTAAGGACGTTCTAAGTTCAAACATAAATTACCCGGAAGCATTTATTTACATATTGTGGCGGATAACACGCCTAGATTGAATTGTACGAAGCTTTGTTTTGCAAGCTACGGCACATCCAATTTGCACTTAGATTGAACTGTGGAAGTTTACTCCCCGATTTGGTACTATGGCACGAACCTCTGTTAGCGTGAATGAACTTCAAATAATTACTTGTACTATACAAAACATAAAAGGTTATTTACCGCACGTTCCAGTATGAGCAGAGGAAGTACGCCGCTTCTAAATAGAGTTCAAAAATAACGAAATTAAAATTGTAGAAAGAAGAAAGAAAGAAAATTTATTTGGCTATCACAAATGAGTATTGAAAATTAAAGATAACAAAATTAAAATTAAGCTGGGATGTAATATGTAAAATATCACAGACAACAAAAATAAAATTATTTAGACAAACGGAAACAACAAGCTACAAAGATAATATTTCATGTGCTAGCTGCGGTAACAAGAGGGCATAGAGTATATTTTAAACACAATCAGATAATTATGATGATTTTTCTTTTTATAATAAATTACGGTACTTACCTCCTTATACAAGGCTATTTTCGTTTTTTTTTTAGTTTACCTATCCCAGTCCCATTGCCTTTTCTCCAGGCCTTCACGATGAGAGAGCTCGGGCTGTAATTCATCATTGGATGCTTTGCAGATGTGTGCATGTGCGATTGTTTAATTTATACAACATGGAATGGCATCAGCTAGCTCGTTATCGTCTACGCGGCATCCTCTAGGTTATAGCTGAAAATGGCCTTTTTGCACTGCTGCATCACACATACATAACTGGGTGTCCATCAGCGCTGCGACTCTGCTGTTTTTTTTATTTTTATTAAATTACATATTTTTCTATATGTCTGTAGATTTAAGTAAACGTTTTATCTTATCTTATGTTGTCCCTATCTACCGACCCGAGAAAATGCATAATTTTGCCATTATAAACTGCAAAAGCACCATAACTGTGGGTAAACGGGTAAACAGGGACGCTTCCTTTCACGGGCAAGTGATTTTGTAATCAGAAGATGCATAATTTATTTTAAAAATAATTTGGTTTTGTATGAATTTCGAGAAAACAAATATGCAACCGAGTGTATGCCTCATGTTTTGTAATACATTGCGGCTTTTACTTGGTGCGATATATTTGTGATCCTTTGTTTATACGCCATGAATATCGAACGAACGCACTTTGGCATAATGCATTCAGTTTAGTGGTACGGCCGCTTGTACATTTCTTTGGCCAAATTTAATATTTAAGTGATGTATACGTTAGGCAACACTGTTCTCGATTCTGATCGATTTTGAAAACAAAGGGACGAAAATTATTATGATCTTAGAAATATTCTATAACACTTTTGTTCTAACGTTTAGAAACGTTTCGTTTTAATTTCAGTTTTGTATTATCTATTATCAGTAGTATCTGTCGAATACAGTGAGCAAATAATTGCATACATCGCCGGATATCTAGTACGAGTAATACAAAAAAATATATAATGCAAATAATTAACAGTGCGCTGTCTTTACAAAAACCTGGAGTTGGTCATATGTATGAGTTTCGTTGCTTTCGAGGACGAAGGTGGTCTAGTTTATCCCACCTAAGATGCTATCCAAATATACAGAGTAGCAGAGTTAGAAATCCGAGAAATAATAAATAAACACAAATTTCACACGAGGCCATCATTAAGTAAACCTCCTCTGATTAATAAGATTTTACCATATTTTGTCAGTAGTAATATTTTCATTTGTCTTGCCATTCAACAATTTCATCAATTACCAATAGAAAACCATCTAGTAAAATTAATCAAGGCAGTCGCAAGTTCATTATATTGACGACCGTTTTCTATCGATAAGATTTTCTATTACAAAAAGATGTTATATAATAAGCTAATTTTATTGGAAGAACAATAATTTGCATATTTGAAGTCGATTAAAAATGAAAGTAATATTATTGTTAAAGACTTATCTATCTTATTCTAGTATTTTTCTACTATATTATTACGACTACTTGTAATCAACAAATACTTGAACAAAAATTATTATATTTAGAATCGATTAATTGAATGGAGCGGAAGGTTTCCATCACTAAATAGCTCTTGTGACATCATAGTGGGTACAAAAAATGTGGTACGCTTGGTTTTCATACAAATTGCTGTAGTTGCGGCGTCTATCTAGATATATGTCTGTGGTAGCGATATTGCAATTTAGGGTTGTTAATAAAACAAACATAAGTACAGATTTTCATTTATTTCAGTGATTGCTGATTACATAATTACATACGACACCTTACCCTATTAATTCTAAAAAAATCATTTCCAATATCACCTTATCTAGTTATTAAATTTTCGGATTAATCCATTAAAAATTATCGTTTAAGTTTTATTCTTAGCTTAATTTCAATTTAACTGACGCGGATTGAATAAAACGTTGAACGATTTTGAATCTAAGAACGCTATTGTTTACGTTAAAATACGTTTTTTCCAATCCACAGTTAATTGAAACGCGTAAAAAGACATAACCGCCCGTTAACAGTTACCGATACAAGCAAGGAAATCTTTGGTTTAACTTTTAACTTGAAACAATAAATTAAATTAAATATGGTAAATGAGAAAACTTTTCCGTCCTCAAAAACAGCTCGAATATTAAAAATGCACTAAACTTTTTCATTCAGAGAAAAACTTTGTCACTCCTAACTTTAAAGTACAAGGACCCTTATTACCTAACTCATTTAAAGCAAACAATTAAATCTCGTTCCATTTTAGTTTATAATCTTAGATAATACCTCTGAATTGCAATTTTATTATTATACATTAACAATCAACTTTTGATTTTTGTTTCTTATTAATTAAAACTAACGCTACAGTTTACTCTAGACCTAACTTTAACTATTCATGGCTAAGAAAAGGATAGATAGATGAAAAACTTATATGAAAGAGAGAGATGGCGAATAAATAAAATTTCATAATAATGTTTACTTAAAGAGAAGTACGTATAAGGAATTGACATGATTTTTGTTCGGAAAAATAAGAAAACTGGAAGTGCCATTGCAATGTTATTATTTTGGAATACTGCAGGATGTGTAGCAAGATACCTGTAGAGCTCCAGTTTTATCCCACATCGTTATTGTACGATACCACATTCTATGTCATCTTTGAAATACGACTTTACTATTTTTATTTCAATTATATGACTGTAACTTAATCAATTAATAGAAATGAATGTTGTATAAGTCTTAGTTTAGGAACACATTCGGCTGTGTGTTCAATTCAAGTTGTTAGACTTCTCATTTCAAATTTTTGTGAAGTATATTAGATGCAAGTACTATTTTTAATAACAGATATCGGCAATTTATAGGTTTTGTGTGGAAGCGTGGTCTCTTCTTAGTTTTCTTATTCTTACACATGATAATGGTTGTGATTGCAGAGATGAAAAAATTTTGTCAAAAATGTTCGTGAAACTCTTATTGTCGGTGTTAGCATTTATTTTGTATAAAAATTCGATTCACTAATGAGTGACTTGAGGTGAAGCATCTAAAGAAAATGGAATTATTCACAGCCAGAATGATTTTTCATTTCACGTTCTAGATATGGTATAGGGGAAGGTATTTTATAGAGATTTTAATTTTTTTAAAGGTTAGTTTTTTTTTAAATTTTAAATCTACAATTAGGTATCTACAGTGCGTAAGTTTAAAATTTCTTCTATTTTAATGAAAATTTGGATTAAGGGCAATCCTTTTAATGGAATGTTAGATAAGTTGCTACTTGGGTTAAATAATAGAACTATAAGTTGTCTAGTAGATTTACTGATCTCTCATTTAACTGTCTGCATTTTGTTACGTGACACTTCACAGAGCTACGTATATCACTCGAGACATATCAACTTGAAAACATTCTAGAATCAATCAACTGTGTCTTTTGCCACAAGATAGTGTAGACAAGGTTTAGTTTTAATACATAATACTTCCAACAATCGAAGTTATTAGTGGCGTTATGTAAAGATGGAAGAATCTAAAGGTACGCTTAGTAGCGGCGGTACCTAATCCCTTGCCGCTTCTAGTCAACTTATATTTCTACTTTAACATACACTTAACATTTTCAAAATCATCTAAGCGTCAATTAAGTAAAGCATAAGCTTAGAAATTCTTAGAATATAAATTTAGATATTTATTGGGAAACTACTATAGTTCGCTTTTATTAAGTAAACCATGAATGACTTAGGTAGACATTTTCATTTTAAATTTCAAATTACACTAAGCTAATCAAGTGCTAGATTAAAATTTGATTGTAATTCCTTTTTAATTTTCTAAATACATGAAAATCATAAGATGGTTACCGTTAAAATGAAGAAGGTTTAAGAAGTATGCGTTACACGTAATAAATTATAGCATGTATATTAATATGAAAGTGGAATATAGAAGATAGCGAACTAGATATACTTATAGAAGCATTTACTAGATAATGGCACTGCGGAATGTACCCCGTGTTTATAAAAAAGTACCCTAAGATCAGCTTAACAATTACTTTGGTTTCGAACAAGATTATGTTATATTTATTTTTAACCTTAAATTTACAGTTCTACTTTAACAATCCTCAATTTAACCACTCACCCTTTTATTGCGAATATTTTTTTTAATAACTCTCCTAAAGCCGGTGATTCAGCAAATAGATGTTAAGTTGTGATTTGCGATTATTCCCTATAGTTTAATCATTAAGTTTAAATGTAAAGATTCATTGAGCTCGGAGAATCTTCACAGTTAAAGTTTAAATTTATCTCTACAAAATTTGGTGACAAAGTTTTTCTCAATTCCATTTTCTATAAACATAACTCAAAGGTCAAAATTTTGGAAGTCATAGATTTGACTCTTAGAAGAATCCATAGACAATCCCATACAAAAATGGAAGAGGAAGTTGCTTTGCTTTGTATGGAACTGTACGGGTTCTTTATTTGAAAACAAAATTTCTTAATTTTATAAATCGCGCCCCATTCCGCTGTTTTTGAGGATGATCTTCGCAAACTTAACTAATAAAAAAAAAATCGGTTGTCAACATACGTCGTTGAAGTTATTTTGTTAATTAACTTTTATCTCATTCACTAGTTACCATTACCGTCCCAATTACCTTCTACCGATAGATTCATGACCAAACATTCTATTACTAGTAATACAAAATTTAACGTATTTACAACCATTCTTTTTAAATCGTCAACAAAAAACATTTCATAAGTACATCATTGCGTCGCATATTAAAATGTACATTCTTTACATCGTTAAAATAAGGACTAGAATCTTATTATTTGGGAACAAATAGTACAACTCAAATTAAAACAAACTGATGTTTGGTTTATCTAATATTCCATCAACACTCGTGTCGATATCTACGACGTTCAATTGTTACATATTGTCTGGCAGTTTCGAAAAGCTTCCGCTTCATCCAAAACTTCTAGAAGATTCCTTGAGCAATCATAACTTTGATGGAGTCCAGACCTCAGGTTTAGAATTTGGTGATATTTGTTTTTTTTATTTACTTATAAAGTTTACATTACATGATTACGCATTTGCCTTTTTCGGCCCATGGGTTATTTTTCTTGTCGGGAGCGTGTATGAGTGGATCGTTCTTTTCGTTTTCCTCGACGTACTCCCTCATCCTGTAAAAACAAAGGGTTAAGTTAGGTTAGGAAGAAAAACAATCTACATTATCATTGTTAATTCTATTAAAGAGATTGAACGCATATACTAGAGAGCTTTTCTTTCAGTTAGCAGAACATCGTGAGTGTTGTGGTTATGGCGTTCATTATCATCAACACATTTATATGTCCCACTGCTGGGAACGGGTCTCCTCTCGCGCGAGGGTTTAGGCAAAGTCCGCCACGCTGGCCAAAGCTGGTTTCGAAGGATTGTGAACCTTCTCCGACGTATAGGTTTCGGCATTATGTTTACCGTCACCGAAAATTTCATCGCAAATTTCAAATTAAATTTTGCACGCAAATTCTGAGAAATTCAGAACGGTTCGAACCCATGGCCTCTACTTGAGAGGTAGTAGGTCAAATTATTAGGCTACCACGGCTTCTCGCTACTCGTAGATAAACAGAATGACGTGGATATTTAAAACAAATATTGTTAAATGATAAATGTGAACAAAAGTTTATTTACAAAGAGCGACTTCAAGAGCTTCTCATTCTTCTCTCTCTTCTGCATTACGAATGAGTTGTAGAGTTTAATAAATATGACGATTACAAGTGTAATTTTCTTACTTTTGGATTTTATTATAATAACTTGCAAATAGGAATACAGGGATAAGTTCTAAACTTATATACTTAATTCGAAATCTACATAGAACTACTAAGTCACGGGACGAAAAAGTCGTGCGCCTGGTGGTAAGCGACATGCCTGTTCATAGCAGTTGCAGTACCACTCAGTGCTTTAAATCGCTAAGATCCTATGGGCACTGCCACTGCTCCCGTCGCTCTGCGATATTTGATTTTATTTTTGTTTTATTGGTAAAGTTACAGACATCAGATATAACGTAATACTAAAACAATTCTTAAATAGCACTATAAAACTAACACCCAGTTACAACTAAACATAGCATTCCATAAAACAAAGAGCGGAAATGTATATAAAAAATGCAAAAAAAAAAATCTAACTGCATACCAATTAAATAATAAAAAAAAAAAACAATTAATGTGAACTAGTGGTTCCACTTCTTACTACGTGTGGCTAAGTAATTTTGATTTAAAAGTTAGAATGTTACAATTAAATATGTCGTGTGCATAACAGATTTCGTTATAATACCGACACATTCTTAAAATTGGGTTTATTTACTGCAACATTATTAGAGTTGTGGTATACGCATGGTCCTACAGGCAACCCTGATATCAAATTGTTCCAGGAGGTGAGTATCAAAAAAGCTACCCACTATTTTATGGGGACAGAACAGATCAGATAACCACATCCTCCTTTCTAGGCTTAATAGGTAAAACTTACGCAGTCTGTCATTATATTCCGGCAAATTGGTAACTGGCAGTACTTTGCTGGACAAATTCTTTCACAAGGAGCTTCTACTGCTACTAAAGAATTCAAATTATAACGTCAGTTGTGGTTAAACAAATAACCATGGATCTACGTTTAACCGACACAGCATAGCGCCGTATGTAAGGAACAGTAAGACAGTGAAGTAACTTTTTTCAGATATCAAGTGGCGGGACGAACAAGTCGTGCAGTATAGACATCGCCTCCGGCATTGAAAACCCAAAAAAAGTCAAAGATAAATCAAATCTAGTCAAAATTATCTCTAGTTCGTAGGTCACAATAATGCAAATGTTAAAACCAAACTGTGTCTCTTTTTTTACGTAAAGAAGGAGGCAAACGAGTGAACGAGCCACTTGATGGGAGGTGGTCAACGTCGCCCATGGACATTTGCAACATCAGATGAGCTGCCTATGCGTTGATAGCTTTTGAAAGCCCTGTAACCGCTCACGCGATGCATGCAGCCGTTACGCATACTACACCTAGAGGTGCCGGTGATGATTTTATACCGATTTATCGGATATTGAAGTTATAACAGGTAAAAGGACTAATATCAATTGCTATTTCGGTAACTACTCTAGCAAAGAGGTCAAATGCGCACTTATTTCTTATTAAAAAAAATCTAAGATGTGGGGATGGACTCTACTCCTTTGGCGGGAGGTGCGATGGTGGAAACGGCGGCACCAGTTCGAAAAGTTCCTCTGAGCACTCGCCATTATAAAGACGATAGAACACAGAGAGCCAACGTCTCTCCGTAGGCTGGCTCCATATCGTCTGTGAGTTTGGGCTCATCGACAATACGAACAGCCCTACGTTGGATGGAGCCAACGGGGTCAAGCTGGTATTTGGGAGCTCCTGCCCAGAGATGCGAGAAATACTCTATATGGTGCCGTACGTGAGTTTTATACAACAGTACAGTCTTATCGTTCATGTTCATTTCTATCGTTCATTTATATTAATGATCTGCCATTCTTTGTTAAGGACCATTGCGAAATAGTGTTGTTTGCTGATGACACATCCTTGATTTTTAAAACAGACAGACATGACATTAACTATGACCGTATTAATGATACCCTCTCTAAGGTAGTTTATTGGTTTAATGCTAACAATTTATTGCTTAATGCCAAGAAGACAAAATGTGTTAAATTTGAATTACCTAACGTAAAATCGATTAGTCCAAGCATAGAAATAAACGGAGAATCTTGAGAAGTCTTGGGAGTGACCTTAGATAGTAAACTTCAGTGGTTTCCACATATATCGTCCCTGGCCAGCAAATTAAGCTCCGCTGCATACGCAGTCCGTAGAATACGTGAGCTTACCGATGTTAGTACTGCTAGACTAGTTTACTTTAGTTACTTCCATAGTATAAAGTCATACGGGATTCTCATGTGGGGTAAAGCGGCAGATATTCAAACCATATTTGTATTGCAAAAACGAGCGATTCGCTCTGTGTACCGTCTAGGCTCTCGGGTCGCAGAGACAAGTTTAAGGAGACTGGTATCGTGACTGTGGCATCACAGTGCATTTCCTCAAATATTTTATATGCCCGTAAAAACACACATAATTTTAATAAGAAAGAAGATATCCATAATATTAACCTTAGAGCTAAGTCCAAACTCATGGTACCACGATTTCGTTTAACCTAGGTAAACAACTCTTTTATGGGGAACTGTATACGTTTATACTCGTACAATAAGATTCCGGAGCATATATTAAGTTTATCATTTCCTAAGTTTAAAAACTACATTAAAAATATTTTGATCGAAAAATCATATTACAAAATTGAAGACTACATGTTAGATAAAGATGTATGGAAAGACGACATGGCTCCAGAATCCACACAAATTTCATTCAAAGTGTATTCCATAGCATTTAAGTTTATTTGAAAAGAGCAATCCCTAGAGTTTCTTGCTCGTTCTTCTCAGGGAGGTCAGCGTAGTGAACGAGCAGTAGCTTAAGTGTGACGTTTTCAAGTGTAAATTTATTTTACTTATGGAATAAATAATCTTTGACTTTGACTTTGACTTTGACTATGTAATCCGTAACAGAGTAATATCGTCTCTTTACTAAAGTTGCCTTTATATGAAATTTGAATTTGTCAAAGGATTGGTCCAAAGCAGCTTTTACAACCTTATTATAATATTTTGATAACTTCGCCCCACAAAAGAACTGAGAACCCTCTGAAGTCTTAACTTCGATAAAGTTAAGACTTCACGACCTTCCATTTATATTTACATCGTTTCGTTTATTATACAATTCATTATTCAGACGCACAAAAAGTATTCAATTGTAAATAAACCGTGATGCAGTGGTCAATTTGCCCAATTTTCTTAAAAATCTCCAGGTGAGGTCCGTAGCTCAATTTATAGATTGCTCTTACCGCATGCTTCTACAAAATAAAAATTGTTTCGATAGAAGCTGCGCGCCACAATAAAATGCCGTATGACATTATACTGCAAAAGTAACTGTAGTAAACGGGTCTGGCTGTTTCGACGTCAGTACGTTGCCTGACTTTTCGTATGGCATAAGCAGCAGAACTAAGCTCTCTATATAAGTGGGACATAGAAGAATTTCGTTGACCTGCTAGCTCGACCTGTACAACGTGTCAACGTGACCACAGGTTCAAGGTCAAATTCTGTCGGATCAAAGGGATTTTCCTTTGTGTTCAATCTTTGTATTAATAATAACAACATAAAGGGATTTCATAAAGTGTTTCTGATTACAATGCCATTGCAATACAATCCACGTATTCGGGAATCGTCGAAATTACTTCAAACAAAGTTGCGCATAAAAGCGAAGCCGTGAATTTCACAAAGCGATTGCCAATTCGCAGTGAGCTAAAAAGTTTGGTTCATATGCGAAGATTTATTTTAGCACCTTAACTTCCGGTATTACCAATATATTTTCGAAGGATAGGGTTGTCACGTTTAAAAGTGAAAGGAAGCTGGAAAATTTAAATTAACAGTGATATCCGGTTGGGCGTTTTCACCAAATGGCGAGTTACTCAAAATATCCAAAACCAATTCAGAAAACTTCATTTCCTAAATAGATACTACCGGGATCTCCTCATCAAGAGCCCATGGGATGCACGAAAGGAGCCTCCCCGCCTAACGTATCATCCGTTTCCTGTAGTCTGGCGTACCCTGGGCAACAATCGGCTAGTACCTTACGCCGATTGGCAAATTCACCACGATGGCAACCATTATACCATCGATACTACAAGAAGAAGATCAAGAGCCCATAGACGTAATCGAAATTTTAATAAATTTTTTTTGGTTTTTCTCGTGACGCAATGGAAAAAAAGAGATTATTGGTGCTAAATAGTTGAAACTGTGAATAATTCGTTAAGCCCAATGCCTGAATCGACAAGAAGCAAAACGAAAAGTTAGAACCGAAAGTACATTTTCGGCAACCCTAAACACCATAAGAAACTTTTGAGACCTTAATTGAATTTAACTTTCATTATTAATTAATTCCATTCAAGTTTCCGATGAAAGCTAATGGTAACCTCGCCTCGTTGAAGTCGGGTAATTTATAGATCGTCAGGTGTAAGAATGTTAATGGATTAAGTTACAAATTACGTACGGGGATACAATATGAGTTATTTGCAGCAAAATAT